TGACAAAATAGCAATTCATGACACATGATCTTAACCCGTATGGTAACAAACATTGTATTGGGGGTGGAGATGGGGAGGTGAAGACGAAGACCATTTGCTGGTAAATAGGTGGTGTCCCAAGACGTTTAGCCAGGATTGCAGATTATGAGCACAAAATTTCTTGGAGATGATTGTTGAGGGGTCGAAAAAATAACCAGCCACACCTCATAGAAATCTCGAGCTCACAATCTAACTGGAATTGTTTCCGAAGAGGTGACACGGTTGTTTGAGCCTTAAATGTAGAACTCAGGGTCCGAAATTAACTTTTTTCGGCAGGCGCCAACTGGCGACAGAAATTTTGTTTTTCAGTCGCCAAATGGAAAAATGTGGTCGCCAAAAAGTGTCAATAAAATTTTTACTTTGCAACGAAACGCAAACTAAAATTTTTGGTCACCACGGGCTTGCCGGCAAAACATTTGCAATCGATGTAATCAGGAATCAAACCAGTGCTGTAATCATCTTTTGACCACTTTGACAGATCTACATTTCCACCTTTTGACGCCCAGNGGAGGTGAAGACGAAGACCATTTGCTGGTAAATAGGTGGTGTCCCAAGACGTTTAGCCAGGATTGCAGATTATGAGCACAAAATTTCTTGGAGATGATTGTTGAGGGGTCGAAAAAATAATCAGCCACACCTCATAGAAATCTCGAGCTGACAATCTAACTGGAATTGTTTCCGAAGAGGTGACACGGTTGTTTGAGCCTTAAATGTAGAACACAATGAATCTCATTGACTGTTTTTTTTAGCTGAAGAAACTAGGCAAGCAGCTTCCAGACCAGGTCTTGCCTTCCTCTATAAGGACAGCTTTTCAAGAGATGTGGGCTAGTAATGGTGATGCAATTAGTCGGCAGTATGCTGGTACGGCTGCCATGAAGGTACGGTGTATCACACACGTATAACTGTGTACCTTTTGATCAGTTTGTATGTGACTTGTATTAATTATGATGTAGACTGCAGACTCAGCGTGGAGAAGGGGGGAGGTGGAGGGGGTTTGGAGGAGTTAGCTAGTGCACTCACGAAGAGCTATCGCTCAAAACGTCATCGTCGCATACTCGCTTTGGCGGTTAATTAACCTTTATTAACCATACTTTGGTAAATCGCCAAGTGTTTTACTTGAGATTTTTATTCCAGAACAACTTCCCAATGTATTTCATCTCTTTCAGGGAGACTTTACCAGGACCGGAGAGAGAAGATTTACTGGCGTTATGAAAGATGGTTATAATTCCGCCAACAGGTTTGTTTTGATTGCGATCTGTTGGCAAAGGCATTAATAAGTGTGGGTAACCTTGTATTGTCGAGTTACGCTTTTTT